TCATTCTAGGCTGCCAAAGAAATGATCAGTCTAATAGTTTCAAGACGAGCAATAGGGGCAAATACCTCATCATAGTCAATTCCTTGTCTTTGACTATAGCCTTTTGCCACCAGTCTTGCTTTGTATCTCTACACGTCTCCTTTTGCATTCTTCTTCGCCTTGTACACCCATCTTACTCTGATTGCTTTGTGTCCTCATGGAAGTGTAGTAAGTTCCCACGTATCATTCTTCATGATTGACTTTATTTCTTCATTCATGGCGTCTCTCCACTTTACATTTTCAACAGCTTCTTGATAGCTTAGAGGCTCGCAATCACCAAAAAGACAAAAGAGGTTAATGTTATTTTGGTTTTCGGTTACCTCATAAAGCTCTTCAATGCTCCTTAATCGTGGTGTCCTCTCACTTGAGCTTGTTTCATCCAACCTTGGTGTCGGTGAGGCAGGTGGTGTAATATGTTCATCTATCATTGGTTGTTCCATTTCATCTTCTTCTTCTTCAAAATAAGGAAGAAAATCATACCTGTCTTCTTGAACACTCCAACCCCAACAATCTTCTTCTTCGAACTCCACATCACGACTTATGACAATCTTTCCGCTATTTGGATTATAGAGCTTATACCCTTTGGAGCTTGAGTCGTAACCCACGAATACATACTTCTCACTTTTATCATCGAGCTTTGTTCTCCTTTCATCTGGAACGTGGGTATATGCAATGCTTCCAAACACCTTGAGGTGAGAGATCCATGGCTTCCTTCCACTCCATGCTTCTTGTGGTGTCTTCTCATGCACACTTCTTGTTGGGGAACGGTTTGTCAGGTAAACCGCACATCCCACTGCTTCGGCCCAAAACTCTTTCGGCATCTTCTTACTCTTAAGCATGCTTCACACCATATTAAGTATGGTCCGGTTCTTTCTCTCCACTACTCCATTTTAATGTGGCGATCTTGGCACTGTTAGTAAGCGGCGGATCCCATGCTCTTCACAATATTTGTTGAACTCATTTGAAGTAAACTCTCCTCCTCGGTCAGATCTCATAGCCTTAATAGAAAGACCACTTTCTTTCTCCACAAGGGCTTTGAACTTCTTAAAGTTTTCAAACACTTCTGACTTCTCCTTCAAGAAATAAACCCATGTTTTTCTAGAATAATCATCAATAAATAGGAGAAAGTATTTATTCTTACCAAAAGAGTTTGGATTGACTGGTCCATAGACATCAGTGTGTACGAGCTCTAGTGGTTTTGTCGCTCTTGATGTTGATTCCTTTGGAAAGCTTTTTCGGAATTGCTTCCCAATTAGACATCCTTCACATAGTTGGTCTGGGTGGTTTATACTAGGCAAGCCTCTCATCATCTCCTTCTTTAACAAACATTCTAGACTATCGAAGTTGAGGTGTCCAAATCGTAGATGCCATAGCCACGAAGAGTCGGTATAGCAGGCCTTGAGACACTTTGCCACATCATTTTGAATGTTCAAGAGGAACATTCTATTCTTTGACATAGGCACCTTAGCGATCAATTTATGCTCACAATCTCTTAAGAAAAGACTATGTTCTTTCAAGTGGATGTCATATCATTTCTCCAATAATTGTCCCAAGCTCAAAATATTATTTTTCATGTTAGGAACATAGTAGACGTTGGATATGAATTGATGACTCCCATTCTTTAAGCGTATGAGAATTTTACCTTTGCCTTTGATCAGTATCTTTGAGTCATCTCCAAATGAGACATTTCCAGTTGTCGCTTTATTGATCTCTATGAACATGCTTCGATCACCGCACATGTGGTTGCTTGCGCCGGTGTCGAGGTACCACTTATTTCTTTTCTCTTCAAATTGGTTTTGGCAAGCGAGCAGCAAAGTTTCTTCTTCTCCACCTTTTTCTTCTACAAAGTTAGCTTTCTCCATAACTTTCTTTGAGAATCTACACTCAGATGCATAGTGACCGATTTTGTTGCAATTGAAGCACTTGATTTGTAACTTGTTGCACCTTGACCATGAATTTCCATTTCCACGACCTCTTGTTGCTTGTGGATTCCAACTTCTTTCTCCATTGTTGAAGTTGTTGGAGTAGTTATTGTAACTTCCTCTTCTTTCTCCTTCATGTCCTCGTCCACGTCCACGTCCACGACCTCGTCCTCTTTGACTCTTGTAACTCACATAGTTTGCTTCCTTTGCATTGAGTTGTAGTAGTTGTTCCATAGTCTCCTTTTGTTTAGTTTTTCTCTTTTGTTTTTCTTCGTATGCTTGTAAGGAACCCATAAGTTGCTCAATAGTCATGGTGTTTAAATCCTTGCTTTCTTCAATGTTGGTAACAATGAAGTCAAAACTTGGATTTAAAGTGCGAAGTATTTTTTTTTCATGACTTTCACCTCATCAACATCTTCACCATTTCTTTTAAGTTGATTGACTACGGACAATACTCGAGAAAAATAATCAGAAATTGACTCAGATTCTTCCATAAATAAACGTTCAAACTCACCCTTAAGAGTTTGAAGACGAATCTTTTTCACCTGCTCCACTCCTTTGTTGCAAGTTCGAAGCTTGTCCCATGCTTCTTTGGTCGTCGTTGCATTGGAGATCTTCTCAAATGTATCTTCATCCACCGATTGATAAATGAGGAAGAGAACTTTCTTGTCTCTCTTTCTTGACTTCTTTAATGTCTCCTTTACACCTTGGCTTAAGGAGGCTTCATCTTGCTCCTTAAAGCCTTTCTCAAAGATATCTCACACATCTTGAGCTCCTAGTAGCGCCTTCATCTTGATACTCCAATTGTCATAGTTGTTCTTTGTGAGCATCGACATTTGAAAAGGGAAACCTCCATTCGCCATCTTTTGAGGACCTTCAAGCTCTGATACCACTTTGTTGGAAATAAGACCTTTCGTGTTTAGCAAAAGTGTGTGAGAATATTATAGGCTTAAAGAGAAACTTGATAGATAGAAGAATTATTTATGGAAGATAGAACTTTGTATTTTGCTTAATACAAAAGTGTAGAATTATATCTCTATTTATAGTACTCTAAGGAGAACTTTAGACACACTAATTCTAGAGAGTTCTCAACTCTAGGAATTCCAAGAGCATTCTAGAGAATATTACAACCTTAAGAAATATCTAGACACTCCAAACATTACAAGAGTTTTCTAGAAACATTAATTAAAATTACCTAAGTCCAAAATAACTAAGTCCAAAAATCCAAATAATATATTTAGGCCCAAATCAAGTTTAATCTTTCAACAGACTCCTAATAGAATATTACGATACTAAAGTCTTGACCTTTATTGGTAACCGAGTTGGTTGCGCTATCAAAGTCGACAAGAACACTATGGAGCATGAAAGGGGGAAATATGCGAGAATATGCGTTCAAGTTAACCTCTCAAAGCCGCTTCTTGTCCTCTGCAGTAACAAGGATAGAAAATTGCGCATTGAATATGAAGGTATATACACCTTTATCTAAAATGTTGTAGATATGGTCATCATAAGGAAGGTGTAATAATAGGGGAAAAGAGCATGTTCAGGCAAAAACTAGTGGTGATGACAAAAGCATGGGAGCCAAGCCAGCTAACGCAGCGGAAGAAAACTTGAAGAATGCTAAAGATGGTCCTTGGATTATGGTTCAGAAGCAGCAAAAAGGGAAAAAAACCGGTGGATGATCGGAGGAGTTCGAATCCGGGAAAAGTTAATGCGGACGAAAAACTGTCGGGTTTGAGATTTATGTCATTAACTCATAATAATTTCAATGATAATGATACAAATGGCAATGTTCAAAAGGTCCCAGTAGTCAATAGTATTAATGGTGGTGCAATGTTCACTCGACCACCAGACTACAAAGCTTCAGAAGACGCAATTGCTAGGAATGGTGGTGCTCCATTTGTGGGTGGGACAGTTGGATTGGAAGAAGAGAGTCAAGCCAATCTAGAGACTCCTATGGGGAAGATGGAGACGGTGGAGACTCATTTGAAGCCTTAAGTCTCTTATGGTGATTTGGTGTTTCTTTTTCTCCTTTTTAATGATGATAATGAACAATGATAAAAACCTTGTTTGGAATTGTCGAGAAGCTGCGAGCAAGGTGTCCTATCGCTATAGTAAATACTACATAGATATGTATAAGCCATCTATTTATGTTGTGTTGGAAACAAGGTGCGTTCTGAAGAAAATTCACAAAAGTATGATGTTATTGGGTTTTCATGATTACCTTGTGATAGAAAATCAAGGCTTTGCTGGTTGTATTGGTGTGGCTTGGAAGAAGGATCATATGTCTATTAATATTTGCAATAAAGATACGCAATTCATGCATCTGTATATTAAATCTTAGGCTGGTAGAAGCTGGTATTTCACGGCTATATGTGCCAGCCCTCATGATAGTAGCAGAAGTAGTCTTTGGGAGGGTTTGCATACTTTAATGACACCCTATTTCACCGTGATATAGCCCTCATGATTGCCGCACACTTTAATGACATCTTGTGTCCAACTGAGAAAAAGGGTGGCATTAGAGCTTCCACTAGAAATTGTTCCATTTTTAGAGACTGTATTGAATGTTGTAAGCTTATGGACCTAGGTTCTTTGGGTCCTAAATTCACTTGGAGAGGTCCCATTTTTCACGGCGATCAAAGAATTTATGAGAAATTGGATAGAGCTCTTTGTAACATAGCTTGGAGAGATATGTTCCCTAATGTGCATGTCAAGATTCTGGCTAGAGTTGAATTCTCAGATCATCACCCTATTCTTATCTTGCCTTACATGAGAACAAGCAACCTTAGTCCTAAGAAATCGTGGGAGATAGTAGGAGACAACGTCTGCAAGTTTGTGCACGGGATCTGGAGCAATCCGGGAGATATTATTAATACCAATCAAACAGATATATGTTTGATTCCTAAAAGAGATCAGCCCTAGCATGTGTCTCACTTCTGCCCGATTGAAGTTTTGTATGTCTAAGCTCGTTTCACTGTTCCAGGCTGGCTTTGTTCCGGGTCATTCATCCATGAGAATATCATTATTGCCAAAGAGTGTATGCGCATTGTCCATAAGAAGAAGGGTAAGAAGGGCCTATTTGCGATCAAGATTGACTTGTCCAAATCTTACGACAAAGTCAGCTGGGAGTGCATTTGGCAAGTCCTTAAGGAAGCTAATATGCCTGATGAGTTACTCAAGCTTATTATGCATACGGTTACGAGTACGGAATTAAATGTGAATTCTCATATTATTGAGCATGAGGTCACCAAGAGGAGTTGTAAAGCCATAAATATGGGAGTGAACGGTCCCAAAATCTCTCACTTAATGTTCGCCGATGACTTACTTTTGTTTGGGGAAGCTACGGAAGATCAAATGAATTGTGTGATGACTTCCCTCTAGCGATTTTGTAATTTAACAGGCCAAGAAATTAGTGAGGAAAAATCTAGCATTTTGTTCTCTAGGAATATCTCGAGGTGCATGAAGCATAAGCTTTTGCATGCTTCTAAATTCAAAGAAACAGCTTACTTTGGAAAGTACTTAGGGGTACCTTTGAGTGGAAAGAATTGGAGACGGTCGGTTTTTCAATAGGGATAGCAAAATAGATGAATTGGATGAATATGGATTGTATTGTTAATGAATTGATTAAAATAACTCATTAGTCCATTAACAATCTACTAATTTTTTTTAAATTATTCAATCCAATCTATTTATTAAGAATAAAATTAATTCAATCTATCCATTAACATATGTTTAATGGATGGTGTAATACCCCAAATTTTGCCCTAATATTAGTCGTTTCATCTTGCATCCCATTTCATTTTGCATTGCGTTTAAACTAACCACTAACGGGTTGTGCAGTTGTTTGATTGTTGCAAGAAAATATCATGTAGCGCGCTATTTTAGTTTACAGGGTTTCTAGTGCCACTTTATTTTGAATGAATAAAATAGCACAATTGGCAAGAGACCCTGTGTAAGGAGTTGTGAGTGTGAGAGGTTGAGAGTTCGAATCTCACCTTCTTCATTGTTTGTTTTAGTTTGTTTTTTTTAGCTTTGACTAATTATTTAAGTTGGGCTTTAAAGTGGGCATTAGGTTAGAGTTAACCCTAATTTGTTACCTATATAAACATAAGTTGTGTTTGAGAAATGAAAAAGAAGACAAAGAGAAAAAACAGCGACCGTTCTCACGATTTATCATAAGAGGGGATTTTTTTGAAGAACCCTAAAAGGTTTGAATTCATCATCGACCAAGCGCTACCGGCGAACAAAAAGTCCCAACGGCGGAGGATCTTCGTTCATCATCATCGCCGTTACCGTAAGCTTTCTATTTCCTTTGATTTACGGCATTTTATGATTTTTGTGTGTTGTTTTGTTCATTGATTGTAGATTAATGGGAAGAATAAATAGAAGAAGGAACCATTGACATGCAAGGATTGAAGGAGAGGAAAAGCTTCGATAGTCATCCATGGAGAAAACGGCATAAGCCTTTTTATTTACGTTTCATTTGTTTTTTTTTATTTCATTATTCAATTGTTTATTTTTTTCATTTATATTAACTATGTGGTTTGTAATTAATAAAACAATCAAGTTTAGGTAAGCTATTTCAAAAAAAAAACATAACGTAATTAGTTTTTAAAAATTAAGATCTTTCTAAAAAGTTTTTTTCAAAATTAAACCATTTTTTATTTAAAAACATATTTCTAAATAAAACAGTTTTTCTTAATTAAACCTTTTTTCCAATTAAAACCATTTTTCATTAAGTTAACACAAAAATTAAAAAATGACCTTTCTTTCACTAAAACAAAAATTAAAACCTTTTTCGTTGAATTTAAATCAAATTTTTTCATTAAAATTTAAAACATTTTTTTAATTAAAATTTAAAACATTTATTTTCGATAAAATTAAAACATGTTTTTTCAAGACATTTTTTCATTAAAATTAAAACCAGTTTCTTTATTAAAATTTTTAGTAAATAATTAGAATAGTTTCTCCATTTAAGCATGAAATTAATTCTCCTCTCCTCTTCTCAATAAAAACTCAAAAAGAAATAAGTTTTGATTTAGCCGTTTCATTTTTGTCTAACCCTCGTTAATTTGTTTGTTTCAACTCGTTATTATTTCATTTGTTCATTTTTGTTCCATGGATGTAATTTACGCGAGGCCATGGTCGCGGTTATTTTATTTTGCATTTTTCGGGAATTTGTAATTTACGCGAGTGATCGTCGCGATGCTTTTTTTACCGCTTTCTTTACTTTCCACATTTTAATTTCTGCCATATAGTATTTTGCCTTGCTTGCATGTTTTACCGTTATATTTTCCTCCGAAGGAATTAGGATTAACAGTTTGACCGCCGAGTCAATAACCCTAATTTTGACCGTTTCAAAACCCTATTAGCCTAGGCGTCCTGCAGTGGACGAAAATGCCATTTACCCTAGCATTAGGTCAAAGAGTCGCCGTACTCTGTTTTAGGGTTTCCCACCGTGGAACACCTAATTTAACCGTAATTTTCAATTAACAAATTCAACATAGAAATAGGAGTTTCAAAGACTCCACGTAAGCGTGTCCTTAAGATATGTTTACCCCCCTTGAAACCTTGACCATAGTCAAGACGTTTCTAACCTCCCTTTCGAGGGGAACTACGATTACTCTGATTCCATTCCCTATCCAGGATACGTAGGCACAAGATGCGAATCTTGCCGAGTAAACTTAGGACTAACCCTTAGGTTTTTAGGTCACTCTATCCCTTAGCTCAATATATATTAAAGCAGATAATAAATAAAAATAAAAAAGCATACAATAAACAAAAGGTTCCTGTAGAGTACTACAGAAGTTTAGGGTGCTAGTACCTTCCCTAAGCTTAACCAACCCCTTACCTAGGTCTCTCCCCGCATTGTGTTTATGATGCAAAAATAGGTTTTCCCTCTTTTGACCTTTTCCTTCGGATAAATCAAAGAGCGGTTGTGAATTAAGAATTGTGATTCAAACTAATTAATAGTTTGATATCCTATTTCCACCGCAACAGAAAATGGCGACTTCACTGGGGAAAGCCATAACTTTTAAGGGTTATCCCTATTTTGTTTATTGTATGATATTTTTCATTATTTATTCTCTTGTATATATTATTATTGTACTTTGCTTGGGGGGTACCTTGTTATTGTGAGATAAGTCCTAACTCGGACTTGAGTGACCTAATTATAGGAAGTTGAGATATTCGACGAGGCTTGCCGGGAGTGAGTCCCGACCAAGTTGACTCGAGAATCACCGCTCAGTTGAGACCCTTTCGAAAACGGTTCGGTTGATCGAGTTAGTCGTGAAAACTTTTACTATTTTCGATTAGAGTCTATGATATTGAGGACCGTAGTTACCTTAACACCACATTGGCCTTATATAGGACGTAGTGCGGGAACTATGTGGGAGTAGTCCTACAATGGTTGCTACGCGATGCTACACTCAAAAGAGGTTCTCTCGAGAATATTATCAACCTCCGAGTTAGTTGGAAAGTTGATAATATCCGAAGGATGGACTGGTGACTTTGGGCACTTCTTAGAACCTTGTTCTGCAGGTACAACTAACCTTAGTACATACCTTATTGGGATGGGTAGACCCTAACTCCTTGCACATACCTTTAACCTAGGACTTTGTATATGTGCATTGCATCCATTAAAACATTACATTGCATTACATTTCATGGAGTTCAAACCTTGTTTATGAATATTGCAGGATACTATGGAAAGTCCTAAGCTAGATGACCTAAGGAAGCTAGGATCTTTAATCCAAGATTGAGAAGGATTCTGTAACCGGTATGGAAGGTTGTTATCTCTATTGGAATATAAGGTGAACGGAGGACTTCTTTCGGTTTTCCTACAATTCTATGATCCCGACTACCATTACTTCACATTCCCCGATTATCAGCTATTACCTACTTTAGAAGAATATTCTCAGCTCGTAGGATTGTCTATTTTGGATAAGACTTTGTTCCCTTTCTTGGAGAGGAACCCTAAAGGACAAGACCGTTGCTAAAGCCATATGCTCGAAGTTATCCGACATCAAGGACACTAATCACCAACAATTGTGAAGACTTTTCCAACGTACCCTTGTTTGGTTTTGATGAAGGATTTATTTTCCTCTAACTCTCGATCAACCTTTTGAAGATAGGCTCATCCTCAAAAAGGCCCAGCTAGAAGAGCAGATCAAGGGGCAGAACAAGAAGCTTTTTTAGGGTCATTATTAGCTTTTATTTGTAATCCGTTTTCAAATTAATAAATAAAGTTTTGGTATTCTGCGATATTCGTAAATATTTGAATTCCATGAAATCATTTCATTCGCATTTCACATTTTTTGCATCATATTTTTGCATCACATGTGTCTCCCGGTTTCTTATTCTCGGTTCTCTCGCCTTCCAGTTTCGTCACCCTGGGTCCTCCGCATCAGTATAATACTAGAGCCCAAGCTCGAAAAAGGATGGAAGAACAAGCTCAAGAGATAGACCGTGCCAACCATGAACTCGAAGATCTTCGAGGAAGTGTGGGGAAAATTATGGAGATGTTGCAAGCCCTTAAGGTGAAGATGGATAATCAACCTACCGTTGTTTCTGAAATTACCGATACTGTTGTGGATCTTCAACCAGCTGTTACTGTCGAGAACATACATCCTCAAAATCGTCAATCCAGTTCAGTGAATCCTACTGTTTCTCAACCAGTTCGACGAGTTACTCCTCCGAAGTGCAAAACTCCGAGCGTTGGCTGCCATAAAGGACCTACACATCCGAGGAATCGCCCTATGGATACTCATCAACCTTGGCAACCTCAGCAGAATTATGTTCAAGGTTATCCAGTTCAGTATGCTCCACAACCATATGTAGCTATTGTTGCACCTCCTTTTAGTCAACAATTTCCCAGATATCAGCCTGTGCAACCGGCTCCGGTCTATCAGCATCTGGTTTATCAACAACCTCCTGTTTATCAGCCTGCACAAGCTCCTATCAACTGTCAACGAGTGCCCAACGCTCCCGTGTGCCAACCATCAGAGGAGACGATACCTCGTCAAAATAGGAGACCATACAAGCATTGTCCTCCGATCCCAATGACATTCACCGAGTTGTATCCTTTCTTAGTGCAACAAGGTCTGGTTGTTACCTGAACTTTGGGTCCACCTCCCAATCTGGTACCTGTCAATTACAATGCCGCCGCTCATTGTTTATTTCATGAGGGTGCGTCTGGTCACGATTTGGAAGGATGTTACGCGCTTAAGAATATTGTCAGAGATTTGCTAGAAAAGAAGGTCCTGTCTTTTGAAGATCCTCATCCGAAAGTCAAGACTCCTCTCAGGGCGTCCCAGGGGCCAGAATCAAGCTTTGCAAAGCCTGTTTTCAACATATCTCAACCAGTGACGCATATGGTGAAT